GTAGGCTGAACCTTTATATTTATAAATATTTTTTTTTATTTTTATTTAATCTAATAAAATTTGATTAATATCTTTGTTAAAATTATAAATATATATATTTATATATTTAATAATTATTGTGACATTATAGCAGATTAATTTTATATTAATAAATTAATTGTAAACTTGCGGATTAATTGTAAATTTGCGGATATTGCGAAATTATTTTTTTAAAATTCATAATAGTTGCAATCTAAAATCAGAAACTTAATTCGCAACTTATAAGTTGCGGAGCCATCTTTACCCTAGAGATATAATATAGATTCAGAATAATTTATATACTTTTTAACATCATCAGCTTTATATCTTATTCTATCATTGATATTTCTAGCTGGTGTGAAATCTTAATAATTCAAGGAAAATTCAATGCCTCTTAGCTTGAATTATAGTTTTAAGCCTAACTTCTCTATAATCTTTATGGGAAATAGCCTTAACTGCTGTTTTACTACTAATACTAGCATCTCGTAATTGCCTATAAGCTTTAAACTATTTCATGTGATTGAAATTCCCATATTTTGAGATAAATTCTTCAGTTAATAATTCAGGTAGGATCCTATAATAATTCACAATATGATACCAGTCTAAAGAGCGTATCTTTTCTAAAGTCTTCTTTGGCTTATTTTCTAATAATTCAGCAGTCTTATAATTGACAATAGAAGCATTAGATATATCTGATATCTCTTTTACTTTAACAATAAAAGAACTTGTCTTTACTGTTTGGGATAGCAATATTGTAGTATATTTAGGTTTAGGAATGAATTATATAAATTATATGACAGAAATTACCATATCCACTTTTCAGGAAAATCAACCATCCTCCAACCAAAAAAGCGTCGAAAACGAAATTTCTAACATATATGCTACCCATAATTGAATAGTCAGCATGTTTTTATTCCAGATAATAGAATCTACATCTGAAAAAATCCCTCTATTCTGAAGTTCATGGAAAGACATTTACGTTTAGCATTCAGTAACCATTGAAATAATCCTTTTTTTGTAATGGAAACATTAGATGATTTTTGTTTGATATAGCATACATAATCCTTAATGCATCACATGCAGAATAACATCTGATTTGTTCTAGCATTTGTTTCTATATAACTATTAAAGATATAAAATGCTTGTTCAAACTTAGAATTAATGCAAGATACTCCTATTTTTAAAGTACTGGTATAAGCAACTGGATTAATGTCTTTTCATGATTCTTTTACATTGCTAAAATCTTGAGTTTTTTCCATTGGATCAGATTTACCATGATATTTCTTGATTCTTAGTTCTAGAAATTCAGTCTTAAGAGCACGAACAATTCCTTGTAGATCTTTTCTAAGATAGCAAATAAGTGATGCACTTTTACGATTCTCAAAAAGTAATAAGAAAGTCTGCTTGGCCCAATCTCAAAGTTCGACTAATATACATTCTTTATTAGGAGCAAGGCAGAATGTTTTATCTTTCTGAGGCTGATAAGTATTATAAATAATTGAAAATGGTTTATTCTTGTAAAGAGCTTTAATCCATTCGGTATTAAGATCAGTAAGATCATTATTCATAACGATAATGTGTCTTGCTTCTTGAATTAATTTATACAATTTTTTTATTGATTGCCTCGCTAAATGATTTTGTGCTTGAGCAATTATAGATATTATTTCATCAAGGCATATATCATATTGGCTCAGAGAACATTTACATTTTTTATCACATTTGCAATTATAGACTTTCTATCTGATACATTACTCTCTTTCGATCAGGTAGATTTATATTACCATTAATATTGCAATATGATTTAAGATTAAGTCTTGTAGTAATAATATTTGAGTAAGAGTAACGCATAGATAATACAAGTAAATTTACATTATCAGAAATAGCTAGATTTTCAAGAATATATGTTTCCCAAGGCAATCTAACATAAATATCACCTTCATTGGATAATAGTTTTATATACCTCTTCTTATATGTTTCTGTTTTTATAAAAGGTTCATTATACTTAACCCAAAATGTGAATATTACAAAGACTTTAGGAAAACCTGGGTTTTTTACTTTGTAAGAGAATTGTGAAAATTTTTTATTTTCTTGCTGGATTTTATTCGCAATAGATAGGTCATACTTAAAAACTCCTTCTGGCTTATCACTATTTTGCTAAAAGTATTTTACGATAAATCTCCTACTGCTAGCATATATTCGACTGAACTATTTCTGATTCTTATTATATATACATTTGCATGCAGAGTAGACATCCTATTAAAGCTTTTCGGTTAAAATATATGAAGTTTTTTGAGTCCTTTTCTTTGATAGTCCAATCTTTAAGATAGTTAGAATATTTTTGCAAAACAAGATCTGCATATTTTTGTAATATATCTGGATTCACAGATAATCTTAGTGGATTATTTTTTCTATATTAAGTAATCGTGGTCTTACTTCAAGACACAAACTAGTAGATGGTTGAACTCTAGTATGATTGAGCTCATTCCACTCATTATTTAGTGAGAATTGAAGAATTTGCTTTATATGACCTTTTTTGCGAAACTGATAAGATGAAGGTTAAAGTTTTGATCAGATAATCCTTAATCAATATATTTGCTGAATTTTTCTTCTATTATGGTATATACTAATTCTGTGAATGCTTTGAGCTTATGATGATCAATAAGAAGAGCTATTGCATATAAAATATGGTAACTATATTTGCTAGAGTCTAATAATATAGCAATTATTAATCCTATGAGAATTTCCTATCAGATACAATCAAGAATTTGATATAAAGCTCTTATAAAAGAAAAGCAGATTCGAATGAATACTTCTTGTACCTTAACATCAATTATTTCCATATCTCCTTGCGAAGCATTTATAACAATCACAGCTCTTAAAGATTTTTGGCTTTTAATATATTCATGAATTCCAGGTAGGCCATATACTTTTGAAATGTCATCTGCAACAGAAACTTTGGGATACAATCACCATCTTGGTCAATTTTGATAACTAATTTATTATTCACTTTATCCTGATCATAAGCATTATATAAACTAGATACTTTTTCATCAGAAAGAGAAATGAATAGATTGGAAGATAATTTAGTGAGCCTTTATCATCTGACATATCTCTAGGTGGTGATAAGGTGATTTTTCAGATTTTACTTATCAAATTCTTAGAAGAAAAATCATTATTGAACTTTTCCTGCCTTAAAGTATATATCATATTAACAGGTAAGTCACCTCTCTCTTGTTCAAATGGAATCTTAATAATGCTGGTTGAGACGCAGGAAGCTTCTTCATTATCTGACTCATAATTAGACTTGCAATTATTATAATTATCTGACTATAAGTTGAATCTATTACAGTACAACTGCTAGAGCTACTTAAATATTCATCAACTTCTGTGCTATCATAGTGAGTGAACATTAAGTCAGATCCAATGTGATCATTTGGTTAAAATAGTTAAGATATGCATGTTATCAGTAAGTAATACTTTATATACTCTAATATATTTCTGAAATGTTTAATCTTTTTTTTCATTCATCGAAAAAAGAAGCAATAGCAAACTTAGATGGCAAACGTGAAAAAAGGTCAGATGTATTATTGCATTAAAGAGTAGTCTTCTTCATAATTATATATATAATATTAGAAGACTACACTTTCTAGGTATGTATTTAGAAATGTGTCAAGATAGTTGTAAAAAGAGACGTATAGTAAGATGGTAAAAAATAGGAATAATCACATTCTTAATAGGCAAATATAAGGTTAGGTAAGTGTGTAATCTATTATATAAATATTGGCATTTACTTATCTTGTCACTAGTATATACTTAATATGATATGATATCTAGGGTATTCTTCTTCATAATATTTATATAAAATAATAGAAGAAGAATACACTATCACTAGTTTGTAGTCAGATATATGTATTTTAGATAGTTTTCTTCAGAAATATTATATAAAATAATGGAAAAAGACTACCCTAACACTAGTATGTATCTGGATATGTCATCTAGGATATTATTCAGAGTCTTTATATAAAGTAATAGAAGAAGAATACCCTATTACTAGTATATAGTTGGGTATATGTATTTTGGATAAGTCTTCTTTAGAAATATTATATAAAATAATGGAAGAAGACTTATCCTTAATGGTATATACTCAGGTATGATATGGTATCTAGGATATCCTTCTTCAATAAAGAAGAAATTTGCCAAACTTTGTGATGGAATATTTTCGCAAGCAAATATCCAATTTATCTAAACTTTGGTATATAGATAGAGCAAGTGAAGGACGTTTAAATAAGCCTAAATTCGCATAAATATGGTTAGTTTTTTTTTTTTTTTTTTTTTTTTAAGATGATTTCAGATTGAGTGGTCGATTGTGCTCCGAACGCCTCGCTTTTTAACGATTTGTAAGGTATCCCCGAAGGGTCATAGCGTCGAATTCACCCTTAAGCGTTGACCTCATATTTCAGAGGCCCCTGCCACCGAAACACATCCCCTAGGTTGTGCCACTGAGGTATGACATCCTAAACCCCAACATCCCCATATGCGGT